CAATCTCAGAATCATCAATACCTCAGATTCCAACAGTGTGATATTTGAAGTAACACAGGGTGGAAAAAACAGATTTTTAAGATCTTTAGAATGAGGTTCAAGGGGGTACAAGATAGAGGAATCTAGGTGTGTCCTAGCCTTTTTCTCCTTCTTCTTGTCCTCCATGTCTTAGTGTGATAGTAGCACTTTTCTAATAGTTTAAGATAGAGACACACTGGCCAACATAAATTTTAAGTATTAGTACAAGAACTGTAAACATAGTACACATAATTTTGAGTATATAATGTAGGAGCTACCCAAAACTCGAAGCCAAACTGCTATAACTTCTGTGCTAGGCAGACCACAGCAATTCAAAAAGAAAATATTATAGGTAAGAAGAAATAAACAACCTTAAAAACACAACTGAAAGCATTCCAAGATTCCTCATTTAACTGCATTCAGGCTAAAGAAGCAAAGACTTGTTCAGATTTTTCTCTTATAGTCACCCTAACCTATAAGAACCCCCAGAGAGAGAAAAAACCCACAATCTCACGCCTCCTGGAAATGGTGGTTTAGGGAGCGGTGGTTTTGTGGGGTGATAGAGAAAATTATGGAAATTTTGCACATGGAAATTCAGTGCCAAACTCCTCAGCACCTTTCAGGTGGCATCTTTGCAAAGCAGAGCTTGGACCTCATCTGTTCAAGATTAAGCAGCACTGTTAACCTGAGCTGTGTCACAGCACTGTAGATGTACCACCTGCAAGTGAGATACATCAATCACTGATCTGGGGGGTCTATTAAAACAAAACTTAAGAGCTTAAATTCATGATTTCTGTTTAAAATCTTACTTTTGTTGATTGGGTTAAGTGTTTCTCATAATATTCCAGTGTGCTGCAGATGACTTTGGTGGGGTTGCAGGTTGCCCCTGTTGCTAAACTCCCAGTTTTGTTTGTGCTCTGCCCTGCAGGTGATGGAGGGAATGATGTTAGCATGATTCAGGAGGCTGACTGTGGTGTTGGAGTTGAAGGAAAGGTGAGATTACCTCATCTTTAATCAGAATTTCTGTGGCCAGTTTTCAAGCAACTCTTAAATGAATCCTCAGATATTTGTGCAAGAAAGGGAACAAGCTCCCACACGAATCATCATCAGACCAGTAGCCTTATAATGAGAAATAATTTGGCTATAAAGGAGAATACTGTTAAAGGGAGTTCAAATTCATTATTTGGTTCTTGGCAGAATCCCTGAATTTGTACCCTCATGGTTAGTTTTGGGGGTTTTTGATGCTTCAGGTGCTGGAGTTACAATTACACTGATAAGATATACCCTACATGCACAATTAAAAACTGCTCAAATTAGTTTGCAAAACAAACTGTGGGTTAGAGCTCTGATTCCTGCACCTGGGGCTGTGTGGAGCTGCAGGACTGGATTGGCAGCAGCAGAGAGACTCTGCTTGCAGTGAGCCAAAATTGTGTGAACTTTTGGGACTGAGAATTTGTTCAGCACTGACTTGATAGGAGTGTCACGTTAACATGTGTGTTGTGAATCAGAATCCAGAGGTTGCTTGGAATTGGAGGCCAAGGTTCAAATGGGAATTCTCCTCATATTTTTTGCTCTTTGCTTAAAACCCACAGTGGAAGGAGAAGCACTGAGGCAATGCTCTCCCTCACCTAACATACTGCAAATATTCCTGGAAATTCTGTCAGTGATAACTCAACAATAACATGACATTCCTTGTTTCCAGTGCTGAAATGGTCTCACTGTGCTTTTCCTGGCTCTTGTTCCCAGGAAGGGAAGCAGGCATCGCTGGCAGCTGATTTCTCCATCACTCAGTTCAAGCACCTGGGTCGTTTGCTCATGGTCCATGGAAGGAACAGCTACAAGAGGTCTGCAGCCCTCAGCCAGTTTGTGATCCACAGGAGCCTCTGCATCAGCACCATGCAGGTAAAGGGGCTGCCAGAGGGGCTCTCCAAAAGAGGTGGAGAAGCCAAATCCTAAAGGAAAGATCCTGTCTCATTTGGAATGCTGCTATTTCTTCTGAAAATTTTCATGGGTTTGGACTTGAGGTTGTTACTTTGATATGAAAACACATGAGCAAACTCCTGGTATTGGACAAATACCAGCAACTGCTCCAAAGGAATAAAAAGGGTTGATATTCCAATATTGTATCTTCATTTCAGGAATTGGGAGAACCCACTGTAAGGATGTTTCATTTTGAACAGAGTGTATTTTAAGCTGTTACTTTTACAGCAGTATTTTAGTGCCTAAAAAGCTCATTTCTTTTCTAGGCTGTCTTCTCATCAGTGTTTTACTTTGCTTCAGTTCCTCTCTACCAAGGCTTCCTCATCATTGGGTAAGAGCTCAGTGTTTACTGGCAATGAGGAGAACCTCTGCACAATGAACACTTTTGGGCTGATGAACGTGCAAGCCCCACACATCTCCACGCTGCTCACAGCTCTGCTTCAGGAGCTGGATGTGAGCCTTGTCCCCTTCGTGCAGACACTGGCAGAAACCTTTCCAGCAGGAGGTTTGTGATGGTTGTGAAGCTGCCCATGCTCCAGGAATGTTCCTTTGATCCCATAAGGAGCAGAGGGGCAGTTTTGTGGGCTGGTGTCTGTGCAGCAGTGAGAGGCAGTGACAGGAGGAGACAACTCAACCTTAGATCCTGTCCAAAAACTGTCTAAAACAGGGCATTGCAACTGTGATCCCGGTATGGCTTTTTATACTTTCTAGTACATAATTTAGAAACCAGCAAATTCACCTCCATTGCCTTCTGATGCAAACAGAATCAGAGCTGAGCTGCAGAGCAGATTTTGGATGGGCACAGGTCAGTCCTTGGCTCCATTGAGAACCTGCTGCAATATTTGAACCAGTCACTTGTGTATGTGTTCCTAATCAAAACTCACTCAAAAAGCCAATCCTGATGGTTTTGCCCTAGCTGCAGAACTCTGGTGTGCTCCATTTGCCAGTTTTTATAATCTGTACATTTCTGGAGCCTAGCATTTCTTTGCTCATCTCCACCTGAGATAATTTACTGCTCTCCTGCCTTCTTCCCAGGTACTCCACAATTTACACCATGTTTCCTGTGTTTTCTCTTGTCCTGGACAAGGATGTGAAATCTGAAGTTGCAATGTTGTACCCAGAGCTCTACAAAGATCTTCTTAAGGTATGGGAGACTCTTGTTTGTGTGTTTTGCTCGAAGGCAAGAGCCTCATCTTGATCTGAAACTGTAAATGTGTAAAGTCATATATATTGCCAGGAGATCCAGAACTTTATCAGGCATTTTCAGGCAAAATTCTGTTAAAGTCACATTTCAATCAACAGATAGAGCAAGAATTCCTGGCAGTTGTTTATTGAATGCTGCGTGAAATGCAATTTATTAGAAACGGCTGGGCAAGTAGAAGTTTCATTCTGTGGGAAATTCTAGGGATTTAATATTACCAGTTTGTTCCATAATAAAGGGAAAAGAGAAATTGTTGGGGATTTGGCCCTGTCCTGAAGCCAGAAAATAGAAGAGGGGAAGGGATATGCTCATTTGATGGAGGCAGGGGGTTATCCCAGAGTTTCTTCAGTAGAAATTTGACTGGAGCATGATCTAAAGTTGGCTTGCTGTGCCATTTTTGTAGCTTTAGCATCTAAGTCAGGTCCTTCTCCTTAAACAAAGAAAACTTTATTTTATGTTTACCATAGAAATATCAGGAAGGTCATTCTTGTCTTAGGTTCCTTTTAAATATTTTTTTCTTCCTCCCTGGAAAATGTTTTGAATAACTGGGGTATGCAGCCTGGGAACATCTTTCTTAGTTGGAGGAAAGGGTGGACTGAATCTTCCCCAGCTCCTTTCCCTCAAGGATTGCTGTTAAACAGATACTCTGAGAAGCACAGCCTGTTTTTCCAGAGCCTCAATAAGTCTCCATCTGGTTTCACTTGGATGTTGTCTCTTATGTCATAAACCACTAATTCTTCAACCATCCTTAGGCCTGGTCTAAACATAGGGGGTTTTGTGCTGGTATAGCTGTGTTGGCTGGAGATGGATTTTTAAAATCTATCTGCCTTCAATATGAGGGTGATTTGTGTGTGTCTAGAAATGCAGTATTAATGTGTTCACATCGATGTGTGTGCACACATCTTCTGTTCCACAGGGCGGTGATTAAACTCCTGAGGCATCTTTGCACTGGATTAATTGTGTGTGCAGTGAGGGCCAGGTTGTGCTGGGGCAGCCCTGAGCTTTCACAGCCCCTTCATGCACCCAGAAAAATGAGAATAAAGGGGCACTACCTCAGCGTTGCTTGATTTGTTTTATTTTCTTTTCTAACGCACCTTCCGATTATCTTCTTAATTTCTAAGTTGATCAATAAGTGAATTTTCATAAAAGAAAACCCCAATGGAGCTTTGTCTTTTTTTTTCCCTCACCCAGGGACGACCGTTGTCATACAAAACATTTTTAATCTGGGTCTTGATAAGCATTTATCAAGGTAAGAAATCAACTTCTGCTTTGCCTTCAGATGCTGTAGTGTGTGTGGCTGTCTAAGTTTTGGTATTGCAGAAGTAAGGCACAAAATTAATTTCCCCAAGCATCCTTGTGGTGATGAATAAATATTTTTTTTTTTGTCTCGGAAAATGTCGGTAGCGTTACCAAAGGAAAAAATTATCTAAACCCAAATATTGTCAGTAATTGGTCAACCCTGTGATGTAGAATTCAGGCCACTGTGCCTCTTCCCATCAGAACCATCCGCTGTCACTCTGTGCACGTTCCTTGCAGTGCTGCAGTTACCCCAGCTGTAAAGCAGAGCTCATCACCCTCCCTGCCCTTCTTTTGGGAAAATTCTCCAATCTGTGCATTTTGCAGGTTTTTGTCAACATGGAAAATGAGCACCTGTGTTTTATCCGAAACTGGAAGTGGCAAGAGTTCTGGTTGCTTCTCAGGCAGTAATTCAGGGTCACAGTCAAGCTCATGTTCTTGATCATATCTCATACACTCTAATTAGGCTGATAAAGCAATTAAGTAAATGCCTTAATTATTATGCATTTTCAACAGTGGATGTAGTAATTTGGGTATCTATCTAAGAAGGTATTTTCTTTCATTTTGTATTTTTTTTTAATCAATTATCCTCAAATTCAAATTTTCTCTATAATTATTAATCAGGGAATTTTAGAAAACAGGTCAATAATGTGGAGCTAAAAGCTGAAGTGGCAAAATTCCTTGTTTCCTCTTTATCAACAAGAGGGATAATTGTCACTACAGGACACATGAAAGCACTGCGTGTGCCGCTTCTATTGTGAAGGTAAAAAAGGCAAGTTTATTTTCTGACTCCAGCATTTACAGTTTTCCAAAGGTGACAGTGGATTGGAGGGTGAAAGTGCCACTTCTCTAATGACACTGGACAAACTACTAGTCCATCAAATTTCTCCACCTCTATGAAAGAATGCAAAAACTATCAGTTATTTACAGAAAGTGTGTGAGAAAGTTTGTTACAAGAATGTAAACTCAGAAGGCTTTAGAAAATATTGAAAAAATCAGGGTGACATCATAATAAGGGGCCAAAATAACCAGGTTATTCGTACAGATATAATTGACATTGCCATCCTCAGCAGGGCGTGAATCTAGGAGTCTCAGATCTCTGTTGGCTTTATTTTCTGAAGTCTATCACAGCTTGGGATGCTGAGTGACACAATGGCAAAGCCAAGGCATTGAGAGAACACTCCCAAGTGCTGGAAGGCTGCAGCCAGGGGGTGATGCACAGGGGGAAAGAGTCCTCCTTGAGCTGAGAGCACTCTCTGGTTACAGGGTTTGGTTAAAGTGACTTCAGTGCTCTGCTCGAGAACCAGCAAACAGCGGCCAAACAACGGGGCCAGTTGCTAGCAGAGATGAGCCCGACCAAGCCCTGAGCAGCCCGAAAGTTTGGAAAGTTCACAGCTGGGTTTGAACTCTGTGGCTGGAGCTGGGTTCCCTCGCAGCTTTTCCCTTCCCGAGTGATGGATGTTGGTGTGGATTACTCACGCTGCTCACATGAGTTATTTGTGCAGGTGGCCTGCAGCGAGCCCTGCCAGCCAGCATGGGAGCACAGACAATGCCTCGTTAGCAGAGCCTTAATGGGATTGCTTAGGGGAGGTGTAAAGGGGAGAGACCTCGGCCCAGCAGTGCAAATTGAGCCTCACGTTTGTCCACTGAGCTTTTCAACACTTGGCTGCCTCTTGGCACCGAGGCAGTGTGGTAGGATATAGAGGAATTTGATATCCTTTAGCTTCTGAGTAGTGACCGAGTGCTTTTGTGGGAGGATGGAGTTTCATGATGTTGGAGATCTCCAGTTGCCAAAACAGCATGTATTAATTTCCTATCTCCGTGTGTCATGTATGATAGACTGTTAGAAAACTTTGGGTACCTCTGCTGTAACTTTTCCCTGCCTTCTCATCAGTTCTGTCTCCTAAACAGTAACTGATTTGTTGTCATTACATTCCTCAGGTTTCATGAAAAACAGCCTCAAGATAGGATTGTTTCAGCCTTTCCAAGACCTAACTGTGGGTTTTAGAGCTGAGTGTTTGACTGAAGAAGTTCCATTCCCTTGCAGGTAGCATCATCATGTATGGAGCGCTCCTCCTCTTTGAATCCGAATTTGTGCACATTGTTGCCATTTCCTTCACGTCCCTGATCCTCACCGAGCTGCTGATGGTGGCACTGACGATCCAGACGTGGCACTGGCTGATGATCGTGGCTGAGCTGCTCAGCCTCTCCTGCTACATTGCTTCCCTGGTCTTCTTGCACGAGTTTATCGGTGAGGTTTCATGCTCTCCTCCAGTCAGTTCATGGCCTGGATGGTGACAGGGCTGCACTGAGCAAAAAGCTTGTGGTGGGGCCAACAGGAGGCACAGTGGTACCACAGTAAGCCCTCTGTGATTTGAAGGTATTTGGAAGATATTTTATGGTTTCTTCCCACAGCAAAATGCTAGAGGAGGTAAAAGTGGTCAGCAGTGTGCTACCCAGTTAATCTCATCCATGCTTTGACGTGGCAGCTGTCTCATGTAGCAGTGACCTTTATTTCCATATGGGAATTTGAGGTGGAAGATTGAAGTCTCTGTTGTTGTATTGAAAGATTTGGTCTTTCAAAGTGGGAGAAGGAGCTGCCTCCTAAAATTTACTTTATTTTATCTGTTCACTGCGACCATTCTCTTATGGGTTTGGTTGTTGGTGTTTTAGTTCCCTGCAGCAGAGCTAACTCTATTCCCTGGGTAGAGGAAGAAGGGTGAGGAGTTCCAGATTGCCCCAGTAACTGTTGAGCTGCAGACCCATGGGCTTGTTCAGTGTTCAGTCAGGAACCACAAGATGTCACTGCTTCTTCCATAAAGCTCTTTGCTAGCTGAAGGCAGCAGGGATCACTTCCCCCTGCCTGTCTGTCTCTTGCATGTGGTTATACCAGTTCCATTTTGGAGGATGCTTTAACTCTTTTATAAAGGTTCTGAGGTGTTTTGAGTCCGGAGCTGTGTTTGCTGGGCTCGGCCGAGCAGCAGAGGCAGCTCCCAGAGTGGGAGGATGTGCAGTGCTTGGCAGTGCCTGGAGGATGTCCCTGTTTCAGTGGGGTTTGGGAGGGCAGCTACCTGTGAGAGCCACATTCCTTGCACTGCTCAGTACATCTCTGCATCTTCTGGGGAAGAGAAGGGCACAGGAGTGAGGAGCCAGGTGTCATGTGAACTTTGATCTTGGGGTGGGGCAGCTTTAAGAATTGTAAAATCATGGAATAGCCTGGGTTGGAAGGGAGCTCAAAGATGATGCAGTTCCAGCCCCGTGCCACGGGCAGAAGGAAGCAGAAGCAGTGGTGGACTGAGCTGCTTTTCTGCAGCCCTTCCCAGAAGGTCTTCCTGTGGTTTTGACGCCGTGCTCGTTTCTCCACACAGATGTTTACTTCATTGCCACCTTGTCGTTCCTGTGGAAGGTCACTGTCATCACCCTGGTGAGCTGCCTGCCCCTCTACGTCCTCAAGTACCTGCGACGGAGGTTTTCTCCCCCCAGCTACTCCAAGCTCACGTCCTAGGGCTGCTCCTGGCACACAGACAGACATTGCCCAGGGCCCAGAGACAACCCCAGCTGTCCCTCAGCAGCACGCCCCGTCCCTGCCTCGGGAGCCCTGGTCATCTCTGTCACCTGGTCATCTCTGTCACCTGGTCATCTCTGTCACCTGGTGATCTCTGTCACCTGGTGATCTCTGTCACCGACTTCAGGCTGCCCTGGATGGGACCCTGATGCCAAAAGGGAGTGTTTGGAGGGTGGAGGCTCTGAGTTAATCCAGTTCTTGGCACTTTTGTTCTACTTAACTGGGGGCAAATGCGTGGAACTGTGATGGCAATGGGTTTCTCTTGCATGGTTCAAAGCTGCTACCTGACCTTGGAATTTACGTTTGACAATTTAAAGTGAATTTTTTAAGTGTCTACGCTGTTCTTTGCATTGTGTTACTTTTTTTTAAGTTTATGTTATTCGTATTTTTGATTCAAGCGGTTACATTCTTTTTACATCTTGGAAATCCCTTAATGTAGGTGATGTACTACACTGCTGACAGCTGATTCCTGATTTATGGCATGTTGTTTCCATAATGGGGCTCCAGCCTGTCGGATCTACACACGCTGGAGAATCTGAGTGTGCCTGAGATTTTCCTTCCCTTGAAATGTGGTCACCCCAGTGATTTTGGGGGTATCCAGCCATTGATAAAAACAGAGAAGTGGTAGCTCAAAAACAGAGAATTCAGTTTTGTTTAGCTTTTGTGCTTCCTGTTAAAAGGAGCAGTGACATAATAGTTTTACTGTGTATTTATTTGTGTAGGAGAAAATTATCTAAACTAAAGCAAATCCTCTTTGGAGCAGAACTTTGCAGTTGATCATCCTTGAAATGTGTCGACAACGTGAGAAGAGACTCGGTACTGTTCTGCAGACAATGTGGCAGATGTGTCTTGAATCCTTGGAGACTGAGAGGAGAGGTCACAGAGCTGCTACTCCTCACAGCTCCATGAAATCTGTTTCCTGTTAGTGTGAAACTTTGAGGATGAGCTGCAAATAAGCAGAGGCATTCCTAGGTGGATGTTTTAATGACATGCCCCTGCAGAGAGGCAGGTTTGGAGCCTCGCACTCGCTTGACTCTAAAAACCAAACCTGACTCACAGGAGTGGGTTCATACAAAGGCATTAGGCTTGTGTGCAGAGCAAATTAAGGCATTTTTAATTTTCAACAATTAAACTCAATGAGTTATGCCATTATTATAAAATTTGGTCCATGTGATAATATCATGAGGAGAGCCACACATACTTGGGCTTCTCAGTAGGAGGACAGAGACTTCCAGGGACCTTTTAGAGCTGGGTTGGTGCATCAGACACGGATGGGCTTTTAGTGGCAGCCGTCCTTTTCGGAGGCCCTTCAGTCTGTGCTAAATTAGTTGCTTGCTGTCTTCTTCCCACATCAGAGAAACCATGGGCTGAGCTGGCACTGC